AATTATTTATGATAAATTTTATCAAAACGATAAGTTACTGTAGACATTCTATCGATATTTCAACGATTAAAATTGTTTTTATCAGCTAATGATAGAAAACAATAAGAAACAATAACAATTTCTTTCGGAACAGAGAAAGTGGAACGATAGATACGATAAAATATTTGTCAGATCCTATATTAGTTCTTATCGTTTTCTATCGATTTTTTTTAACAGAGTAACTACTCGAACGAAAATATTTCTGTAATTAGACGTAAACAGACGCAATAGATTTGTTTATATCGATTTAACTTGACACTTATATGACACTCAAATGCTTTGTAAGCGTTGTTCAGCCGTGCGCGATAAAAACGATCCACAGTAATACATTCGCAGAATATTGTAGAAATAGATTTGTTTTCATCGTTGTCCTTTGTTAAATGCAAAAATGCGAGCAGAACATGCTGCGTGAAGAATTGCTGCGTGCGCGCCGCGTATACGAGCATGGATGATGTGCGTATAAAGGCGTTTATAATTATTTCTCGAAAATGATACTTCGGAAAACAACTTTGTCACATATGGTTGAATTTGTATTAAAATAATCTTTAATTTGGTAAAAAAAATAATTTAAAAAATTCAAAAAAAATTTTTAGTGGTAGGGGTAAACAAAAAATTAAGCAATAAAACAATTATTTTTAATTATAATTATAAAGTACTCTTAAAGCCATTCAACTTTTATTCGGAACATTTTTTTCTATCTCTCCTAGTTTTGACGATATTCGCATTGAAATTAAAAAACCGATTTTTTTCTAAAGGGTGTTTCACCCCTTAAAAGCGCGAAGCGGCACGAATTTGTGGTAGCTTAATTTTTGATTTTGTCTAGAGAGTAACATATCAAAAGCTCATCGAAATCGGAGGGGGACACTTGGGTCCCTTTTCTTGTTAGTTGTTTGAAACATTCCACGGTCGTCGATTCAGATTAACAAATTAAAAATATATTATAAAATAAGAAAATGAAAATATAAAAAAGTAACGGCAAATTCGTTACCGTTATTGTAAAAATGTGACGACGTTACCGTTACAGATAGAAAAAACGATGGTTACTAAAAAAAACTAATAAAAATGATAACGGCGTTACAAGTAATGCGTTACTTCCTAACAATGATAAAAATTGTACAATTAACTAATTCATTTTTAGGACATTTTTACAACACTGGTTGATGCTCAATGGCGCTGGACACTTTTGGTATTTTCCATGAATTTTTTATTGTCATGGCTAGTGTTCGCACTTATATGGTGGCTGATCGCGTACAGTCACGGCGATTTTGAACCTCAAAATTATAATAATGATACTTTTATTCCTTGCGTCACGGATATACGCAACTTCGCAAGCTGCTTCTTGTTTTCTGTTGAAACACAGCATACAATCGGGTAAATAATTACTTTTACATCATCATATGTTAATACCATTTATGATAATTTTTTATATTATCTTATAAATAAATTGTATAACTAGATATTATTATTATATTATTTGTTCTTTCTCTTTTGTTTTTTCTTTTATTACAATCAATCTCTCTCTCTTTTTTTCTTATTAAATTATCCTAATTTATTTCAGTTTACAATTACACTAGTTTACAGCAAAAAATTATTTTGAATCGGACTAAATGTCCCATGTAGATTTTTGAATGCTGAAAACATTGCAATGCTACAAGCCAAAAAGTTCACAATAGGTTTTTAAGATAATTAAAATTTAATGTCTAAAAAATGCCCAAATAAACAAATGTCAGCATATTGTATGTATATTGCCGAAATTTAGACGATTGAAAATTATAGCATAATTACCGTCAGATGCATCGCCAAGTGAGATAAATGATAATTAGCATATGAAAGAGGTCTTCTGATGTAAAAATTGCGGCAATATGCTGCTTATTTAATTAGAAACAGAGCATGATTAATTTTATAAATGTTTGCAACATGTAAAAGAAGTCATTTTATGCTGTAAAAATTGCGGCAATATATGCTTATTTAATTTAAAAAATTTTACGATGATTAAATAAGCAGCATATTGCCGCAGTTTTTACAGCCTAAAAAGACTTCTTTTATATGCTGTAAATATTGTTAAAATTAATTACGGTCTGTTTTTGATTAAATAAGCAGCACATTGCCGCAATTTTTACAGCATCAGAAGATCTCTCATACATTTTATGAATTAAATAAAAACAATTAATATAATTAATATATATGTATTTTATTATAATATTTTTGAAGGCAGGCATACACTTTCTAATTAATTATAATTAATTTTATGATGATACACGTATTGTATACACATATTCATATATTTTGCACTTTACGCAGTAAGTACACACACACACACGCGCACGCGCACGCGCACGCACGCACGCACGCACG